ATTTGATTGATAATATCACTGGAATTTTCTGACTCTTAAATCATAGGCAAATAAAATAAATCAAATGTTTTAGAAAACTTTGATGTCTGTATAAAATAAACATGCTGATGCTACATTGTATCCAGAAGAACATCATACCCAGACAGGGCCTAGTGTATTGTAAGTATCATTGTAACTATCATTATCGGCATTGGCTTCATCTACCACAGTCAGTATTATCACCACCATCACCATCATCACCATCATCACCACCGTCTTCCACACTCTCAGGACAGATTGCCACCACACTTACCCACATCACTTATAAATGGTCACAGCAACCTTATTGTTTACACCAACTCACTTAAAATTGCTTCATAAAACTAAGTAAAATTCTGTCAGTTGGGAACCGAGCACATACGTTTCTAATTGTCACATTTTAATCAAATATAGATAAGCATGCATCACTTTGAACACTATTGATTAAGGACAGTCTATTTCTAGAATTCCTAATAATATTCTTCAGGCACACAACTTAGCAACTATTTGTCCGCCTACCCTGAGATCAAGCGTATCATAAATGTGTCTCCCTTAGTCCCCAGTTGAACACTCGGGAATAAAATGGCAGGATGAAGAGGGAGCTCTTTGAAAAACAAAACTATCCATCAATTCACTGCAAGAGCTGGACCCATAAAATAAGACTCGTTAGTAACTTTGATGAGCCACCACCTCCTCTTGGTGAAACCTCAGATGCTTTCACTCTGGTCGGTAAACAGCAGTACTTTTGAATTTATCTACAATCTCTCTGGGAGTATGCATTTTGATTTTAAACAAAAGTAGCTATTCTTTATCTTCCTTTCCTGAATAAGTGAACAGAGACTCAACATTCCAAAGAAAAGTTTATGTCTTTCTCCCCGTTCACGGTCTCCTGGGGGTGGGAGTGGGGGGGAACACTCCATTCACTGCTCTCTCAATCTGAACTTTCTAAACTTATGCTAAAAGGAACACTGGCATCACAAGGAAGATATAAGAGGGTTCATATTGTGTGTAATATGGAGTTGATAAAAACATGATTCAAATCCGAGAAATTCCTCATGTAAAACTTTTCACATGATCAGTTGGACATTGGATGTTCTAACACACAGGCTCTTTACGATGACTAGTAGATTTGGCTTACAGGAAAAAAAACAAATGTACAGACAGTTGTGGGTAATTTAAAAGCATGTAATATTTGTGTAACTTACATACTGCCTTTACATGCAGTCTCATGTGGAAAGCCCTACGTTCTTGCCATCCTTGGAAGGCTGATGCTGCTCACCGTTCTCACCATTCTCCCTGTTGTCCACTGCCCCTGCCTTTTATGTTTTAAAGTATAAGAAACCAAAAGTGCTCAACCCAAATTATCTCAAATTATGAACTTCACGACTTTATGAATATATAGATATAGATATAGAGATATATAGACACACACACACACACACACACACACACACACATATATATATATGCTGATATGCTGATTAAAAAGTAAAAACTAACTGGGATTGGGACCCAGGTCAACAGAGCATGACATAAGGTTGGAGTAAGTGACAATTACCCCTGAGAGCTCTCTCTATGGCGGTCCAAGCCACATTGAGACAAAAGAAAAGGGACATAGTGAGGACGTGACGACATTCACATCCAACTGTACGCTCCCTCCCGAGCAATGGGTGGCTCCTTGCATTATTCTTAGACCAATTTGACATGGCAGGCAGTCAGCAGCAATTTAAATGATTAAAACATGTAAGGACCAAAAGAAAGGGGGTGTCCAGATCATTCAAGAGCATGGAGGCAATCACAGGAAACCTGAACATCAGTCCCTCAACTCTCTCCCGAGACTTCCCCGAAGCTGAAAGGAAGTCTTCCGTGATCCCCGCAGACAGTGTTCTCCAGGCTATACAGACATCAGGATCCAAATTGTCAGGGGATTGGCTGATGTGGAAGGCTTGTTTCTTTGGTTTGATTTGAAACGTAGCACCTAGACATGTTGACTAAATTTAAAATATTCAGGCAGCATTAAACACTTATGTTGATTTAAAAAAAAAAAAACAACCCAAGGTGAACATATGTGTTTCACCTTTAACTTTCTTTAAAAATCCTCAAAGTTGTCTTGAAACCTAAAGAATTCTCGGTAAAATGACTTCTATGAAATTCTCGGGAAGACACAACCTACAAAACCACAGCTTGCTGATCATGAACAGATCATGTCTGCGTGACAATGTTTCTCACTTAATTACATGCCCCGAGCTATGTCACCTGCTACATCTCCTCACACCTAAATACGGCTGCATATTGTGGCTAATGAAAAATGTAGCCACAGCGTGTAGATGCCGAGTAAATCAAGCTTCACCCAAATTCCCTGACCATCCCTGTGGCACACTGGGATGTGTTCTGGGGGGAGGAATCCACAAAGCAGCCCCATTCCACCATCAGAAATAATAAGTCTTAGTCTTACTGGCCCACAGACATCAAGGCAACATATATGGAAAAAAATGAAAAGGAAGATGGACAAATTAGCCTTTTTGTTTATATAAGTGAAACTACGGCAACTTACCTAAAAGTTTTATTTTTCTCCTAAATATATTTTAGGCCTGTATCTTCCAAACTTCTTTGACCTGGACCCACAGTAAAACAATGTTTCCCCAATCTAGCACCCGTAGACTCTGAAAGTTTGAACCTGCCCTGACTGAAAACTCTAAGACATGATTCTTTAGGGTTTGTTCTATTTTTTTTTTTAAACTTAGACTTGGTAAAGTGACTTCACCATTTACTGGATCGTGAGAAGCAATTTTTAAAAACACAGTTTTCAGCCCCCAAACTATTGAGAAGTACTTAGGAAGAGTAAAGTTGTTAGGTTGTTTTGTTTTTGTTGTTGTTGTTGTTGTTGTTTTAAGAGCCTGTTCAATTATTTGCTTTTTCTTTTTTTAAATCCAGGGTTAGTCAAAAAAAGAAAACGAGAAAAAGAAAGTGGAAAAAATTACCATAGAACATCCATTTGAAACACTGGCATAGATACTTCCCTTTCGTCTTGAGTAAGAAGCCAAATAAGAAAATTATTCTAAAGCTAAATTTCTACCCATATTTCCACCTGTGTGTATTTTGTTTTAAAGGACCCCTTTTTGTTGTTGGTTTTTGGGGGGCCGGGGGGACAGTAGTAGCTGAATATCATTTGGAGTAAAAGTTTGCCATAGGGTATATTCTGGTGAGATTCTTTGTCCTGGAGATGCTAAGCGGTATTGAATAAAATGTGAACTCTTTTTATTTTCCCGTGTTCACTTTGTAATTATTAGCAAGGCAGTAAATAACCCGCCAAGGAGCAGCCTCATTAGTCCCCATTGAAATGCACTGGCATTAATTTGCAAAAAAAAAAAAAAGAAGAAGAAGAACTGAAAATTAAATGGAAAAGAAAATACTTTGGGAACTCCATCATAAGGTTACGGAATTCACATTCTACCAATACCATCCTTAACAGCAAGAAAATTTTAAAGTATGAATTAGCCTTAATCGCTATATTTTGTTCCTCCAGTTTGCAGGGGGTGGGAGGAGGCGCTGGTATCAAGAGAATAAATTATTTGCCTCTGCCATCTTAACCCTGAATTAAAGCAAATGAGATTTAATTTGAACCTCCCCCCCAAAAAAAAATTTTTTTAAGTTTCGTTCACTGTTGATCTTAAATGTGAAATCTGGGCCCGTACCCACTTTGCTGTCAGATATTTAGTTTCCTGGGAGGGGTAAAGGTGAGCTGAGAGACACCATAGTTTCATCCTTCAGTGTCTTCTGGGGCCAACCTGCACTTCAGTCTTATTTCTTATATTATAAATACATCTGGAAAGAGAACACTGAGCCCGTGGCCAAATCCAGCCTACAGTGGGCTAGTTTTGATTCAGCAGCTTGTGACCACCCAAAGATTCTGTACCTGGCCTGTGTATTACTGTCCCCTGGGAAACTCTAACAGGTGTTTTTCAAACCTATCCACTTAAGACTTCTGCAGGACCTTAGAGAAAAGAAGCAGAAATGAGAGGAAATGGGGGGGGGGATCAAAAAACTGAGGACACAAAACAATTGTCACTTAGGTCACGAAGAGTCTGTGTCCTGGATTCCCCTGTGTCCTGGACTACCCTGGCTTCTTGCACCGTGCCGGGGGTGGGTGTAGTGGGGGCAGAATGTAACTAACCCGTGTGCCACACCAGAGCATTCGCTGCCTGCTGGGCCAGGCATGAAACTTAGCTGTAGGGGAATTACTGTGCTGGTGTTTCAATGTGGTATGTTGTAAACACATGGGACATCTATAAATCCTCAGCTGTCAGAAGTCATACGCCAACAATCTGCTCGAACTCGAACTCAACCAGAAATTCAAACTTGTTGAGACCCATTCAGCTCCCATACCAGCATTTCAGAGCAACTGGAACTGAATCCAGAACCCCGAAATGGGAAAGAGAGGAAAGAGATGCACAGGCACCTCTGCCTGAAACCGTATCTTCTCCTGTATACCTTGCGTGTTTCCAGTCCAATCCAAAACTCTAGTAGAAAGAACATTGAACCTGACACAATGAAACAATTAAAAAAAAAAAAGACTAATAATCTCCTCTGAGCTCCACTGGTCCCAAACACCTCCAGCTTTAAGTAATAAAAGGGTTCCGTGCTAGTGGCACAAACCACCTAGACCTGGGGGTTTACAAGCTTTGGGTTGCCCTCCCCATAAATAACTTCTTTGGACTATTTTCCAATGCTTGTGTAGTTAGAGAACACGGGGCCTTTTGGATCTGCCTCTTCCACAAGACAGCTCTGGGCGGAGAACATTGTTGTTGTGTTGTTGTTATTGTTGTTTTAAGGCTGCCAATAGAGAGAAGGCAGGCTCCGCAAAGAATCCTTCCTGACTTCCCCGAGGGGTGGGAGGGGGCGATCCGCAGCCCAAGATGTCCCCCCTCGTGCGCTCCCTCCCCGGACCGGACACAGAGGCCACCCTGACGTGGCGCGGGTACCTGTAGAAGGCGGGAGGGCCGGTGTCGCGCACGGCGTAGGCGCTGGGCTCGTTCTCCAGGTAGTAGGGCACCTGCTGGCCGTGCGGATGCAGGAAAGGCGACAGCTGCGGCGGCGGGTGCAACAGCATCAGCGGGCTGGGCGACACGCTGTTGAGCTGGGGAAAACCCCCCAGGCTGTTGGCACCGAAGGCGGCCGCCTCGGACCCGGGGCCGTAGGCGATGCTCGACTGGCCATAGACAGGCGCCGAGGCGGCGGCGGCAGCGGCGGCGGCGTTGAACTCGTAGGCGGCGCCCTCCGGGTAGTTGAACACAGTGGGTTTGCTGTTGTCCATGTACACCTCGCCCAGGGCCCGCTCCATGGGCATCTTGAGCTGCGGGCGGTTGAGGGGTTCCAGCTCGTTCCCTTGGATCTGGTGCAGCAAGGCCATTCCCGAGGCTTTGGTGTGAAGGGTCATGGTCATGGTCAGTGGCAGCCGGCGAGGTACAGATTGGCTCCCCGCGCACGCAGAGGGCTCAGCAGCGGACGGGCCACCTAGAAAAAGAGTAGAGCCAGCGATTAGACGAGGTGCAGCCCAGGTTCCCTTGGCTCGAGTGCTGGCTCTGTCCCTGCCCCTGCCCCTGCCCCTGCCCCTGCCCCTGCCCCTGCCCCTGCCCCTGCCCCTGCCCCTGCCCCTGCCCCTGCCCCTGCCCCTGCCCCTGCCCCTG